CATTCCTTTTTTGGATGAATGCATTCCATTTATGGATATACCAAATGTAGCTTATTCATTCATCAGCTGATGGACATTTGGGTGTCCTGGGTGTTTGAACACAATTGGCATGCTTTGCACTGGGTACAAAGTTTTACATGTTATCTATTGTGCCAAACATATTCATTATATTGTTAAATGTATCTATATCTTATTTTTTGTTTACCATACATATGTTTCTGAAACAAATGTGTTACTGTATTCCAGTATGTCAATTTCTCAATATTTTTATTTTCTTTTTTTGCCTCATATGCATTTTGCCAAGTTGTAAGGAATATAAAAGTTTGTGACTTATATTCTTGGTCCAATACAACTACGATCGAGATAAACCATTCTTCTTTGTCCTGCTTAATGTAATTCTTGAACTCATTTTCCCCAATAGTAATATTGTTATACGCTGTTTTTCAACTAGCAGTTGCTTGCAATAACTTTTTCACTCTCTGTCATTTGACCTTAAATGTATCATAAATAGCAACTAGGTAAAGTTTTACAGCCAGTTTTAGTTAACAGAAAAATAAAACATTCATGCTTGTGATTGCTGGTAATTACGTACATTTAACATCTTTATTATCATTTAATGTTTTAAATTTACTGTATGATTTCTTGCTGCTCTTTTCTACATTTTCTTACCTTTTGTTGGATCGAAAAAAGCATGAAATTTTCATTCTTCTAAAAGTCACCCATAAAATATTTCACCCTCATTACATACCAATATGATTTAGACATAACCATAATCTTTACTGGTTTCTTTATAAACCTATGTTCTTTTATTCCATATCTTTCTCTTGAGTTTTAATTTTTCTGGAGTGTGTCATCAATACTGTCCATGGGAGTAAACTTTCCGAGTTTTTAAACATTTTGAAAAATGCCTTTGTCTTCTTCTTGCATATTATTTTGCCAAAATGTAGGATTTCAGGCCCATAATATCAGGATTTTAAAGATGTTTTACAATCTTTAATAATCCAGTGAAGCTAGTGTTTCAGCATTTCCTCCATCAACCGATTTGTTTTTATTTCCTTTAGGAGGAAAGAAATGTCTAATCTGTTGATGACATACCTATTTTGTTCAGCGCTGAATTTATTCTTCCCCAAAACATCTATTTTCTGACATTATTAGGGATCTTTTGATAGTAAAGATAACAAGCTAGCCATTTTGAGCAAATTACTATTCCCTTCTCTTTAATGATAGCATAACCCTTGATTATTACTAATAATTTCAATGATCTATCATTCAAGTTCCCACTGCAGGTTAAGTAGGTTTCTGGAGATGTGATTTTACTTTTGGCCTATGCAAATACTCATAATAGTGAGTTCTGCGCTAACACAATTCTACTATCTTCAATGACAAAAAAAGAATTAAATGTCTGAACTGATAATGTCTTCAAGCACTTCCTTTGTATCACACATTGCTAATATAACAATCAAGTGTTCACGATAATAAGCTGAGGTAAAGTGACTTTTTCTGACCTAGACACTAGGTCTAGGTCCTCCTACATAAGGAGTCCCACATCTCTAAAGAACCGGCCTGGATCAGGATCCTTCTTGAGTCAAGAGGAACAGCTGGTAGGAGAGTTGACCTCAACGATGCTAAATTCAGAGCACAGCAGCAGAGACAGATGGTCAGTTACGCTCACTGAAGCAGAAAACCTGAGCGCCACATCATCACGAGGCTGCTGCAACCAGCAACTTCTGGATGGACAAGGACCCGAGGTCCTCACCTGTTAGCATCTCTTCCTGACTCGCTGATGAGAAGCAGCCGCATAAAATCCACCATTGTCTTCATGGTCAGCAGACTACTGGGGACACTGTCCACTACATCACAGTGTCCCCTTTATGAGAGCCCAAGAAAAACACCACCTGTGGCTCAGAGCCTCCTCAGAGTCCTCCTGCACAACTGGTATGTTTTCATCCTGTAGATGTACGGATTTTCTAGCTGATTTTCTCTTTGTCTTAACCATTAGGAAGTTAAAAGCCAGATCTGAGGTTTCTCTCTAGTTTTGGGGGCTTTTATTTCTCAACTATTCTAACATTAAAAAAAAAATCTTCCCTGATTCCTTTAGTCAATACTACTGTTTTCTGCAAGTGATCTAAACTCCCTTTGGAAATAAGGCAGGAAATAATCACCTTAAACTAGGTTGATATTGTTTAGAGATATTAATAAAAATAATAGATTTTAAGTAATTTAATTTGTTCCTTTTATAACTTTACATATAGGTCAAATCCTTTCACTCTAAACCAGTGCTGTCCAATAGAAATAGTATGTGAGCCATATGTAGTATTACATTTTCTAGTAGCCACATTCTAAAAAGAAACAGGTGAAATTGAGACAATTTAAGTCTTCCAAATGTGTACTTTAGAGTCAGAGCACATCACAATTTGCAGTAGCTACACTGCAAGGGTTCAATAGCCACACGTGGTTAGTGGTTCCTGTATTGGACAGGTCAGGTCTAAATATAAAGTCAGAATGAAGACTGGAATCAGAAGAGTTTTCCAGACCATCATCCCAATTGTATCTGACCTGTATTCATAGTTGCCTTTGATTTCTGAGCTCCTGGGGATCTCTGATGTAAACAGTAGGTCCAAGAAAGTATGCGCTCTCCTGACACAGGTAATGATCATGAAAACCCCAAGATTTCTTTTTTAACTTCTCTCTGTTTGTTATTTTTTTCCTTGATTGGACCACTCTTGGCTCCTTCTAAGAAAAAATGTAATATAAAATAGTTTGAGATGTCTAGTAACAAAGAAAGAAAACAGAAATGGTTATGCATTTGTTTATTTTGAAATTTCATCCAAATAAGTATTAAAAATTACTTTAAAGCACACTGATAAAGGTTCAAAACTAGAAAGCCTCTGTAGGAATAATCAACAAATGAACAACAAATGTTTGCTTCTCCTTGTTTTTGAACCAGTTCTAACACTTTACACTTTAGTTTGGATAATAAAAGTGTCATTCATTCAAATCAGGACCAAAAGCCCCAAAATGTAGTTCAGATTTCTGAGAGTTGCAAATTTGATTCTTCAGGCAAATAGAAAGCCTCCATTTCTACGTGAGAATAAACAAAGGAATAACTATATTATAGAATGGCTATGAAGATTAATATACTGTGTATATAGCTTACAACAGGCAAATAGTATGTACTCAATAAATTATCCATTTACTATTATTTCTTATAATAATAAATTATTTATAACAGTAAATTATCCATTTACTATTATCATAGTTAATCACAAAAGATTTTTAAATCCAGGTTCCTAAACTGGGGTCTGCAGATTGTTGATCCACAGCTAAAACTGTGTGTGGGTGGGGAGGAGAGTGGATTCCTAAAACCGGATGGAAAATAAGACTCCACCTACATTTTCACTAATCTCTAAACAGAAGTTAGCCTTTGCTTCACTATGAATGCTGACAACATCAAAGTAGTACCTGAAGGATCTATAACTTTGCACCAGTATAAGTAACTGATATTTTCATATTACACTTCTGATGCTTACAGACATCTCAAAATATTTGTCACCTTTTTGAAATCCCAACCTTTGTGAGACCTGCTGCTAGATCTTCTCAATTAAGGAATTAGTAAAGGAGCAATACTATGTTACCAATGTATTGGTTTTAATTTCAATATATTAAGTTTCGTTTGTAATCCAACGTTTTTAATTTCACGCACTGAAAAGGATTATTCTGAGGGTGGGTCCATAGGCTTCACAAGACTGCCATGGCACAAAACAAAGTTAAGAATCCCTACCTTTCAGTCTATCTCTTTGCTTACAGAAGGCCAACCAAGTTTCACAATTGAGCACCTGACTGGGTGAGCCCATTCCCATAGTCTCAGGTTTGTTTTTCTGTTTATAGCTTGACAGGAAGATATTACTGTTCTGGTGTCTGACTCTGTCAATCAACCTTCCTGTTCAAGGTTCTGTGTTAAGCTGACAGGTTGATTTTCTGGTGCATTCGGTCGAACTGGGGAATATACGGGACTCCCACTGGATGCCAGGCCCTTGGTGAAGCTGGGCAGTGGTTTTGAAGCGAGGTTCCAGATCAGTAGAATTAGCGTCTCCTGTCAGGTTGTTAGAAACGCAAAAACTGAAGCTCCGGGGTCTATTAATCTGTATTTTAAGTCCTCGGGGAGATGAACGCTAGAGTCTGAGAACCACCGTGGTAGACACTTGGAGGACAGCACAATCCTGGGTAGGAGGCCCCCCACCTCGACCCAACAGGACGAGGCGGGAGATGGGGAAGGGAGGTGATGAGGGGCGGCCATCGAGTCGAAAGCCGGGACTTGGGGCCTTGTTTTGCTCCTGTACCCCGATTTTACTTACATTACCCAAGGCCTCGAGGGTGACTGATGCAAGGTTATCCGCCTCCCCTCCCCAGGCCCCGCCAGCACTGACCCCTCCGCGCTGCCACCCTACTGCGAGAAAAGACGAGTCAAGGAGAGGGTGCGAGAGAGCGGGGAGGCCAGCTCTAGACTACGAGGGTTCTAGCCAGACAGATCAGCAGCCCGCTAAACCCTTCCCTGCCCAAGCCACCCGGCGCTGGGGCGCGCACAGCTTGCTGGGAATTGAGGTCCCGGAAGCCCACCCGTCCCAGGCTTTCAGGACTGTCTTGCCTCGAGAAAACTACAAGTCGCAGAGTGCTCGGCGCGGGCGGGGTCACGTGGGAGGGGCGGCGGGCGCGGCTAAATAGTCTCCGTCGGCCATTTTGTGGGAGAAGCCGCAGCGCCGCCTCTTCTTTCGCGTCTTCGCATCCGTTGCCGCCGCCTCTTCCTCCGCCTCCTCCTTCGCCTCTTCCTGCCTCCTCCCGGCTTCCGCCGCCGCCGCCGCCGCTCCAGCAGCATCCCAGCCCCGGGGCCAAGCGTCTCTGTATTTATTTCCGTTTTTTTCGCCACTGCAGCGTCCTGACACGGTGATCCGGGCGGGCCCCGCAGGAATTTTACCCCCACACCGGCCTCACACTAGTATCGCATGTCCACTATCCAGAACCTCCAATCTTTCGGTAAGAGCGGGTTGCCCCGCCGCCTCCTCCCGCCCGCCGCGTCCTCCGCGCGCCTCTCGGCTGTCCAGCCGCCGCTGCCCGCCCCCGGCGGGGCCGCTAGTCCGCTCCCTGCCTCGCAGGGCCCCCCGGTCGCCCTCCCCGCAGCCCGAGTGGGGCTTTGTCTCGGCGCCCGGAAGATGGCGACTGGGCCCCTGGCGACCCCCTCCCTGAGGACGGCCCCCTGAGCCCCGGCCGGGGACCCTGCGCCGCCCCCTGCCCGCTCCCGGGCCGGCCTGCGCCTCGCTTCTGCCTCCTGCCACCTCTGCGACCCTGTGCCGCCCCCAGACCTGCCCTGCTGCTGGCCAGGAGGACGCCGGCCCGGGCCGGGGTATCGGCGTCCATTAGCGGTCGGGGCTGTTTTGTGAGCTGCTCTCGGGGGCATTTAGTAGAAGATGCGGCCGATCAGGCCTCTGATCTGTTATAGGGTAGTGGTCCAGTTCTCTACGTGTAGTACTCCTGATTGAGATATATGCATCTTTTTACCAGGCAGAGTTACTGTTAAACGATTAGAAGGTATCTGTGAATCTTTCAGTTGTCATCAGAATGTAATCGAGATGACGCACATTTTTTATAGTGGCTGTAAAATTAAGGTCTTAACAATCTCAGGATTATGTTCAACGATAACATTATCCATCTGTAAGCGTTTTCTCTTCCGCTATTGGTGGGCATACCTGTAAATCTCATTTTGTGAGAGTGCCTTAGCAGTTTCATTAATAACCTACGCTTATGACTCCCCCTCTCCTCATCCCCACCTGCAGAAAAAAAGCAGAGGCACTAGAACCTTCTTTGCTGAGTGTCTAGATTGTAGCGAACCATATATATGGAAATTGCTAACTAAAAGATATTTTCCTGCTTTGGATTTTTTTGTATTCCCTTTGCAGACCCCTTTGCTGATGCAACTAAGGGTGACGACTTACTCCCGGCAGGGACTGAGGATTACATTCATATAAGAATCCAGCAACGGAACGGCAGGAAGACACTGACTACTGTTCAGGGCATTGCGGATGATTATGACAAAAAGAAACTTGTGAAAGCTTTCAAAAAGGTAAAGGTGTTAGGAAGGAGAGATTAAAATGTAGTTATTCACCTCTATTGAAACACACCTCTAAGTAGGATTATGGTCCACACCTTTACTTGACTGTCAGTGTGGGTGAAAATGATTGGACCCAAGGAAACTATGTTCATACTCTTATTAATTGACATCTAGGCAATCTTAGGGTGAAAATAAAATATCATTGTTATTTGATTCAGTTATGTTGAATCTACTTCTCCAGAAATTTGCCTGTAATGGTACTGTGATTGAACATCCGGAATACGGAGAAGTTATTCAGCTTCAAGGTGACCAAAGAAAAAACATTTGCCAATTTCTCTTGGAGGTGAGTGGTTGGGTGCTTTATGTAGAGACTTGAGATTGCTTCTGACATTGTATTTAATGGTGACATGAATTATAACTTTATCCTCTTTAATAAAAAAATTATGTGGATGAAGCACATTAGTTGTACTTTTGAAGACAGGAGTACAAGTTTATTTTGTCATTGGAATGACCTGATCATTCCTGGGTACACTGAGGATGTTTTGTGGCATGTCATGATATTCAAATGTGTGTTGAATTTTTATTAACAGTTTATGCTGCAAATAATAGTGTTGCAATGACCTGTTAACAATGATACTTTTTAATGACTGCTCTGTTTTCTTAGGAATGAATTTATATGTTAGTGATTCTGCTAAATTTTATTTTGCAGGTTGGCATTGTCAAGGAGGAACAGCTTAAGGTTCATGGATTCTAAAATGAACCTAAATACGTGGAGAATTTCTTGAATAATTTTGTTCTCTGACCCAGTTTGGCTGCCTTGTGAAATGATTCTCTGCAGTAAATGGACTTTTCATTTATTTAATCATTCAAACTTCCATTCACATCTGCATGATTACAGAAAACATGGGGTATGTAGGCTAGTAACACATAAGAAAATTGCAGTAAGATGGTAATGAAACCCCGTATTCATCTTAACATGTTTCCAATGGAAAATATTTTGTTTTGAGTGTTTATTTGTTTATTGTTCAGTTTATTACTTTTCACTTGATTAAATGTCTTTTTGTTGTATTAAACCATGTATGTTGCAGCTTAACAATAAAAAAAAAATCTATGAGTCCTTTTGTGAGCAGTTAGGCTCCCAGATCTAAGCAAGTAATGTGCACCTATAGTTTGTCTTTCATAATTGGCGTTCTTATTTTGTTTATTCTTTCTCATTAATTTCAGATGCTGTTAAAGCTAGAGGAGAACCTTTGTTATATGTAATTTTTGTTCTTTACTCACTGACTTAAAAATAAGAGTAAAAACAATATAAACTCAGTCAAAACCAAGAATTTATCAGGAAGTGCTGTTAAATTTTTGAGAAGAAAATGAAACATGGTTTAAACTTAAGTATTAGCACATAGAATTCTTTTGGTTCTTTTATTGGTTATGTTACTGGGATGCCAACATAAGTCTGTCTCTAAGTGCCAGACAATAAAGTAGGTTCCTGACATAAATTTAGTCTGAGGTGCTGCCCTGTAAGTGTGGGTGGGTGGTACTACTGTTCTACAGATGGAGAAAGACATTGTTTGGGGTTGGGGTTAACTTCCCAGAGTGCTAGGAAGTGACAGAGTTGGGGTGCCAACCAAGGGCTTCCAACCAGAGAAGTCATGTTCTTTCACTAAATCCTGGTTTGGTATTTGTTTCACCAGAAGTAAGAACCACAGGTAATAGTGCATGGGGACTTGGAGTAGTGTGAGAAATAAGAGTTCTTATTTATGAGATTGCTGCTGCTTATCCTCTTTTTGAATTCCAGACTTATGCTTTTTATTGAGCCATCATTATTTGCTCAGTTATACAAGGCTTCCCTTGTGACTTAGATGGTAAAGAATCTGCCTGCAATGCAGGAGATGCGGGTTCAATCCCTGGGTTGGGAAGATCCTCTGGAGAAGGGAATGGTTACCTACTCCAGTATTCTTGCCTGGAGAATTCCACAGACAGAGAGCCTGGCAGGCTACAGTCCAGAGAGTCACAAAGACCTCGAAGGACTGAGCAGCTAACACTTTCACCAGCTGTGTCCTTAAAACCGTTCAGCCAAGACAGAGAAACGCATTGACAGTAGTCACCCCTTTATCCAAGGAGTATCTACTCCAAGATCCTGAGTGGATATCTGAAACTGCAGATAGTATCAAACCCTATATACACTTTTTTCTTATACTAAGTGGTAAATAGCATATACTGTGTGGATATACTGGAGAAAGGGATGAATCAGGTCTTGCCCATAATGGAGCAGATTGAGATGATTGAGATTCCATCTCATGGTGCCCAGTATTAAACCTATAAACTGTTTATCCCTAGAATTTTCCATCTAATTTTGTTTTGGACCACAAGTAACAAACCACAAAAGGTGAAATCTCAGATAAGGAGGGAACTGTTGGATGGACGTATGCTTTTAAGCTAAATGTAGTGGGATAATGATATAGAAAATGTCACTACATTCTGTTCCAGCTGAATTCTTGGTCATGATTTGATGATACTGCTTTTGGAAAATCAGCCCCCCCAGTTTACCTCTGGAGGATACCTGATAGGCCTTGTGACTTTCTCACCCCATCCTACCTCTAAGTGAGAGAGACTGGGAATACTGAAAAGGGAGTACTCCAGGAAACGGTGCCAGAGTTGGTGAGCTTGTTCCTGAAAACAGTCATTTGACCAAGAAGGTGGAGAGGCATGGGAGAATTTTCTAATTTGAGAAATCTTCACTTTTCTCCCTGTAACATTTTGTAACCATTCCATCTCACATTGAGAGGTGCTGGGGAAACAAAAAACAATACAGTAGACACATTAACACACTGAAGTGTTGCTTCATCTGGGGAGATCTGTGAGGCAGTGCAGGGAAAAGAACTGTCTAGACTGATGGAACAGGAACATAGGCAAATAAGAGAAAGCTTGTTAAACTTTCCCTAGAAAGAAGCTCTTGGCCTGATCCTTCAGCCTGTGAGCCCCAGATACATTGTGGGACTTGTCACCTATAGGGCAGTCCCCATCCTTGGAGCAAGAACAGTATCGTGTACCCTTCTTATCTTTGAGCACTACAATAGAAATAGCTACACATTTCTACAATTTTACTGAAACCAGTCAAAGTCAATGTTGCCTCTAGCAGGGAAGCTGTCTTGACAGGAAGCCTTGAGGATACCTAAGAGCAAAGCTCAGTGTTCTTGTCTGCTTCCAGGCTGCAACACTTGTCTGCAAAAGGGACGACGTGGCATTGTGGAACAAGTGGGAGAAAACAGCCTCCAGACGCAGCTACGCAGCTATGATAACCGAGCCAAGGGGTATCTCCTGTGCCTCTGTGGGGAGGTTGTGGTCTGCAGACTCTCTGGTCTGTACTTCGGCTGCGAAATGAGAACCGCTGTGGAGAGGACCAGTAGATCTGTCCCTGAGCCTCTATGCTCGGGAGAGGTTTTGGTGAAGCCAGTGGGAAACTGACCTTTGGTTGCTTGAGGCACAGCCTGAGTAGACTGCTACTATAGCAACGATGCCCCCTGCCCTTCAATCTTGGCCCCGCACGAGGCAGAGGAAAACCTGGGGGTTGGGGGTGCCCCCTTCCTGTTGAGGAACTCAAGAGCTGTTCTCTGAACCACCCTAGAAAGAGGGTGGCTCTCATCTTAGGGAAGGAACAGTCCTAGTCCCAATCAGATACACTTAACCAAGATAACTTGAGACGTACAGAATGGTAACAGCTGTCTGTGTGCCTTCTGTTACCAGCTGGGCTCCGGCGAAAGGAATGGGCAGTTAGGGCTTAGGAAGAATTGAGCTCATTAGATTGCCTACACAGACTTGTTCAGTGGGCCTCTGAGGTTTCCCCACACCAAGCCAGAATTGGGCATGGGAAGGAAATGAGGCAGGCAAGGCCCTGCTGTATCTAAAACCAAAGAAAATTCTCACTCGGGGTCGACAGCGACCAGCCACCCTTGCTGGACATGCAACATTGTGCTTGTCTGGGATCGTGGGGGCCAAGAGCATTGGCTAGTGAATCAAGCAGGAAGAAGTCCATGTAAGGGCGCCTTCAATATTGATGGCTCCTTTCATGTGGCTATGTGGGCATTTAACTCCCTTTTCATCTGGATAGTAGACACTTGGGAAAAGAAAAGCCCTGAGCCGGAGAAATGTCTGTCCTCTTCACTCCTGGAAAACCGTTCTCTGGTGGCAGGAGTGCCAGCAGAGAAGGGAATACCATGCTGTCCTTGGATGTTCCTAGTCCAGGCACGTTATGTCAGATGACAGGTGGCCTGTGGGGTTCTCTGGCCTATTGTTTAGTCACTTGAGTTGTACCCAACTCTTTTGTGACCCCATGGACTGTAGCCCGCCAGGCTCCTCAGTCTATGGGATTTCCCAGGCAAAGAGTGGTTTGCCATTGCCTTCTCCAGGGGCTCTTCCTGATCTAGGGATCGAACCCACATCTCCTGCATCTCCTGCATCGGCAGGCAGGTTCTTTACCACTGAGCCACCACGGAAGCCCTCTCTGGTCTTTATGGAGAACTTAAAGGGCAATTTAAACAGCATTGGCGGTGAGGATGCCAGTGTGAGGTGGCCTGTTAGGTCATCAGCCTGATTTTGAATGTAGCAGGGGAAGCAGTAGATCTGTCAATGAACTGAGGGCAGGATCTGAATTGTGGTGCTTTCATCTCAAACCAGTGAACAACCTGCAGACTTCTTTTCATGCCAAAAGCAATTACATAGAGATAAGCACCATTCATTCAATGCACAAAGGGGACTAAAGTTCAAAGCTAAATTCCCCTACTAGAAATCTCAGTAATCTTGATCCTCCAAGCTGGCCTTCTGCTGCAGCCCTCTGCTCTAGCCTGGAGGGTCTCTGAGCCTACAGGATGATCCAGAAGGAAGCTAGCTGTAACCACTATGTTTGTCTCCATGTGTCTTTCATCCATCATCAGGACCCCAGGCCCACCTCAGTTACTGGGCAAGGAACCACATATAGTCTGGAGAGTGGAGATAAATCATAAAGTATTTTAATCCACATCACCCATGACAGATTCCACAGGGAAAGCATCACCAAGGATTTAGAGAATGGTATAATCCCTTGAGGGATTCTGGGTCCATCCCTGGGTCGATTCCCACAGATTAGGAAATGGCAACCCACTCCAGTATTCTTGCCTGGGAAATCCCATGGACCGAGGAGCCTGGTGGGTTACAGTCCATGGGGTCGCAGAGAGTCGAGCTGAATGCGCCTGAGCGCACACACATAACCCCTTGAAGTAGGGAAAGACCCATCTACTCCCTGGTCACTAATGTCCACTCGAAGCACCTAATCGCTATTAACTTGTTAAAAATTCAGGAAACAATAACCTGATACTCAGAAACTATGAGAACCACTAGCAACCTACACAATGGATTAAGATTGTTGAAATGAAACACCATAGGGTACCAAGGGAATGATTTTATGGAAGTAAGGGCATAGAGCAACAGAACTGGTTCCAAATCGGGAAAGGAGTACATAAGGCTCTATACTGTCATCTTGCTTATTTAACTTATATGCAAAGTACATCATGAGAAATGATGGACTGGATGAAGCACAAGCTGGAATCAAGATTTATAGGAGAAATATCAATAACCTCAGATATGCAGATGACATCACACTTACGGCAGAAATCGAAGAAGAACTAAAGAGCCTCGATGAAAGTGAAAGAGGAGAGTGAAAAAGTTGGCTTAAAGCTCAACATTCAGAAAACTAAGATCACGGCATCTGGTCCCATCACTTCACGGCAAATAGATGGGGAAACAATGGAAACAGACTATTTTTGGGGGGGCTCCAAAATCACTGCAGATGGTGATTGCAGCCATGAAATTACTTGGCCCTTGGAAGAAAAGCTATGATCAACCTAGACAGCATGTTAAAAAGCAGAGACATTACTTTGCAAACAAAGGTCAGTCTAGTCAAAGCTTTGGTTTTTCCTGTAGTCATGTATGGATGTGAGCGTTGGACTATAAAGAGAGCCAAGTGCTGACAAACTGATGCTTTTGAACTGTGGTGTTGGAGAAGACTCTTGAGAGTCCCTTGGACTGCAAGGAGATCCAGCCAGTCCATCCTAAAGGAGATCAGTCCTGAATATTCATTGGAAAGACTGATGTTGAAGCTGAAACTCCAATACTTTGGCCACCTGATGTGAAGAACAGACTCACTGGGAAAGACCGTGATGCTGGGAAAGATTGAAGACGGGAGGAGAGGGGCCAACAAAGGATGAGATGGTTGGATGGCATCACCAACTCAATGGGCATTAGTTTGGGTACACTCCAGGAGTTGGTGATGGAGGTGATGGAGGATGCCAGGGAGGCCTGGCATGCTGCAGTCCATGGGGTCACAAAGAGTTGGACATGACTGAGCAACCGAACTGAAAGAGGAAGATGGTAAGAGCAAGTATGCAGTCCTTTACCACCCCCTTGTGGCCACTTATAAAATTTGTTCACTCTGGACGGTTTGTAAATTAAAGGAAGCTTTAAGTTGTTGCAGGCATCATTAAAGCATCAGCTGATGGGATTAATTTTGTCATCCCTCAAATGCTATGCTGAAATTGATCCAGCCAACATTCCTTCATCATTTCAATCCATAGAAATATATTTCGGTTTGCTTTTACCTGGGAGAGATAAGAAAATGCTTTCATAGTCTTGCCCAGGGGATGTATAAAGCCACCTCACCCACTATCTATCCCAGTGTTAATAGAAGGAATTTAATCCAAGTGTAAACAGAGACATCTGTTAATGGCCTTCAGAGAATGGATGATTAAGCTAGAAAACAACCAAGGCTTCTGCTAAATTGTCACCCGTTGGAAAACACAATCTGGAGTTTTACACACACAAGAGACTGACACAGACTTGGTCGTGAGTGTCCAGGAGTCTCTGGCAGAGGCGTGGGTCGGCGGTGGCCTGCTGCAGGGTTGGGGGCACTGAGTGCAGCAGTGTGTGCGTGGGACGTTTTGAAGGAGGTCACCATTATCGTCATTACCTCCACCATAGTTTAGCCTCAGGTCAAACAACAGAGAGGGTACACAGTCTCGCCCATCAACAGAAAATTGGATTAAAGATTTACTGAGCATGGCCCCAACCATCAGAACAAGACCTAGTTTCCCCCTCAGTCAGTCTCTCCCATCAGGAAGCTTCCATAAGCCTCTTATCCTTCTCCATCAGAGGGCAGACAGAATGAAAACCACCATCACAGGAAACTAACCAAACTGACCACATGGACCACAGCCTTGCCTAACTCAATGAAATTATGAGCCATGCCATGTAGGGCCACCCAAGACGGATGGACCATGGTGGAGAGTTCTGACAAAACTGGAGAAGGGAACGGCAAGCCACTTCATATTCTTGCCTTGAGAACCCCGTGAACAGTAGGAAAGGCAAAAAGGTAGGACGCTGAAAGATGAACTCCCCAGGTCGGTAGGTGCCCAATATGCTACTGGAGATCAGTGGAGAAATAACTCCAGAAAGAATGAAGAGACGGAGCCAAAGCAGAAACAACACCCAGTGTGGATGTGACTGGTGATAGAAGCAAAGTTTGATGCTATAGACAGCAATATTGCATAGGAACCTGGAATGTTAGGTCCACGTGAACTGAAGTGAAGTTGCTCAGTCGTGTCCAAATTTGTGATTCCATGGTCTGTAGCCTACCGGGCTCCTCCGTCCATGGAATTTTCCAGGTAAGAGTACTAGAGTGGGTTGCCATTTCCTTCTCCAGGGTTAGGTCCATGAGTCAAGGCAAATTGGAAGTGGTCAAACAGGAGATGGCAAGAGTGAACATAGACATTTTAGGAATCAGTGAACTAAAATGGACTGGAATGGGTGAATTTAACTCAGATGACCATTACATCTACTTCACACACACACACACACACGCCATAAATACATAGTGCTCTCAGTTTAAACCTCTGTCTTGGACCAATACACAGGTGAGTGGGACTTTCTGGCCACTGGAGTCACACCCACTTACCACACACCAAACGTTCCCAGCAACCTTTGTCTGGGAAAAGTAGTGTCTGGGCTCCCTTAAAGCCCTGACATCCACAATGATGGCACTCCCTTAGGCCTAAAGAACCTGGAACACAACTCACGTGGCAGATTAACCATTAGTAATACGCTCACGTGGAGAGCCTCTGGAAGATCTCACCTTCACAAGTGAGGGAAGCCTAATGGGAAGCTCAGTGATAGCCTGGAAATTGTTCAGGGATTTGATTCTGTGTGAGTTGAGGACAGCATCACAAGAGGGCATCTGACCAAAGAATCTCCCCAGGGAGGTGTTGGCAGGTATAACTTCAGAAAATGTACTATCTCTAACAATAGATCCTTTGACACTTCTGGATTTTAACCAAGCATTGTCCCTCATTTTCTCACTTCCCTTGCAACAAAAGTAAAAAATGTCTAACCTCTTTCCAACACTTGTAACCTAGAGTTCTGAGTACCTTTTGTACATCGGCTCATGTAATTCTCACAGACTTCATGACGCGGCATAGCTTCCCTGGCTTACCATTATAATTATTTCCTTGCAAATACTCTCGTCTCCTTTGATCTTGTCTCCTTCCTTTGTACTCATTTGTCAAAATGCTACCCTTGTTAAACTCACCTCCTGGCTCTGTACCTACACAGGACAGCTGATGGTGGATGGAGGAAAACAATGTTCCGCGCCCTTTCCCTTCATCCCCATCCTCCATCTTATACAGCTGAAGGCTTTGCCTCATCCTTCACTGAGGTATTTGAAACTCCTGCATTATTCCATCTTCAAATCTTCTCATCTAAGGCAGTGGTGTATACTCTCTGTCTTCTTTTCTGTTTATAATGGATGAAGGGTACTTGCTCACATTAAAACTAAGCCCTCAATTCGCATCCTCTTCTCAATGAATTATCACTGCCATTACCTTCCTTTTTCTGAATCATCAATTTCTCCCTCCCTACTGGATCCTTTTCTCTTTTTTTGCTTTTAAAACAAAATATTTATTTTTAATTGGAGGATAATTGCTTTAAAATATAGTGTTGGTTTCTGCTATACGTCAGCATGAATCAGCCATAGGTCCCCTCTCTCTTGAACCTCCCTCCCACCTCCTACCCCATCCCACTCCTCTGTGTTGTCGCAGAGTGCTGGCTTGAGCTCCCTCCATCATACAGCATTTCCCACGGGCTATTTTATATATGGCAATTAAATTTCCATGCTCCTCTCTCAACTTGTCCCACTGTCTCCTTCACCCACTGTGCTCACAAGTCTGTTCTCTATGTCTGCGTCTCCATCGCTGCCCTACAAATAGGTTCATCAGTACCATTTTTCTAGATTCCATATATATGTATTAATATGTGATATTTGTTTTCCTCTTTCTGACTTACTTCACTCTGTATAATAGGCTCTAGGTTCATCCACCTCATTAGAACTGACTCAAATGCGTCCCTTTTTTACGTCTGAGTAATATTCCATTGTAAATATGTACCACCCAACTGTATCCTTTTCATCAGATACAAATATCCCCTAATATTTCCCATCTTTCAAATTCAGGCATACCTCCAGAGATTCACTGCAATAAAGTGAATATTGTAATAAGGAGAATATCACCATGC